AGAACTCCCTTTAACGCACGATATTCTAACTTCCAATTCAGTTATTTTTTTCAAACATTACAAATACGATTTACAGTCTGTTAATATTCCTAAAAGAATAAATTTTCATAAATAAATTGTTTTTCCTTTTTTATATAAATCTAAAATTTTCAGTAAAACTGAATGATAATAGAAACATATACATACGTATTTATTCATTAATAATGTTTAATGCATCTGTATACATGCATGTCGTTTAGTTGTTAACTTGTATTATTTACATACGTATTTTCTGAAAATATGCACAAGGCCGAAGCTTTTTTATATCGGACCCCAATCTTTCAAGCCCGGTTTCAGTAAGAAAAAAAATTCGAATCCACTCGTTTTTGGATGTGAAATATGGGCCGGTTTTGGGCCATAGGAAATGGGTCGGGCCATTTCGAGCACTAATTCGGATTTAATAATTAAAAACATGTATTTTATTTGAAATATTAAAATAATTCGAATTTTGATTACAACAAATTAATATGACAAGGACAAATAATTTTATCTGGTAAGAGCGAACGTAAGGACCGAGAGTTTTAACATGTAAGTGAGGACGATGACTCCTACCAGAATTAGCGCTTACCGGGTAAATCGTTGCATACAATGTCGTTATCTTCTGGAACATTGTATAATTCTCATTGACGGTGTTTGGAGTTGTGAATGTGTTATGTTCTTTCTCCAATACGTCAGCTTTGATTTCAACGAGACTGCGGTCCAATGATTAGTTGTCTTGAATTGACTCATTGTTATTGTACCGATCCTTCGAAAACGTGCACACACACGTATCCCTATCGAATATTTCGAAAGAACGTGGCATCATGTCGTTAAAATCACGTCACTAAAAAAAAACTGTTTAAAACTGTTACAAATGCTTCGATTCCGTCACAATCAGAATCAACTTGTAATGTTCTTGCTTTTTTATAGTTATAGAACATCGTAGCGATTCTTTTTTAACGTATGGAAATCTAAAACGTGTTTTAAAGTAACTTTTAATTTCCTACTAAGATATTATTAACAACGTTACCAAATGAAATCTGATTATTTTTTCTCGTATATGGTAATCTGTAAAACTCAGTTGGAGGGTGTTTTCGCTATTTTATCCATGTCGTGATTCTTTTACGATCAAAATGTCCAAAGGGTATTTGGGCTAGCGGTATCGTAGCCTTTAACCTCCTCAGAGGTCAGGGGTTCAAACCTCACCATAGGCGAGGAGGGTGTGTGAGTTTATTTGTTGCATTTGCCGTATATAAATATTATATACATAAAAAAAATGTCGAATATCTCCGTAGAAAACCCAATTGGACCCGTCGAGACCAATTTGCATTTGATCCATTATATGGTTATGATTGGTCATGACGGTGTGATTTTAGGATGCATTTGGCAGGAATACAAACCGGAGTCGAAAAACCTCAAGGACTCTAAAATACTGATAAATCTGAAACTTGCAAGAATAAAAAAAATACCATATATAAAACTTACTGAAAATGAAATTCGAATATCAGATATAACAATATCAATTTTTTGAAAACTTTTGTGTGAAATTGCATAACACATAGGGCCCGTTCACTAAACACTTACCATGTAAGCACTTAACGATATCCCTTAGCATGACAAGAACCAAAAATCTTACCCGGTAAGAGGCAAAACAATGACCAAGAGTCTTACCCGGTGAGGGAAAAGATTTTTACTGATAAGTATTTACCGGGTTTAAGACGCTTACCAACAATTCATTTTGATGTCCGAGAATGTTAGATGACAAGGTGATGATAATTTCTTTTGCCGGTAGTCACTTAACCGTTAAGTAAAGCCTCGTACAGTCTCTAGTAATACTAAATCATTAAAATCACTTTATAGACACGACTTTTTTGTACGCGTAAAGAATCTTTTTTAAAGAACAAAAAGGTAGAGAAAGACGAAAAACGGTCACTTTGACTGAAATTCCTGTTTTCGGAAATTGATTTTGTGCATAACAACTAGCTTGATTGAGCTGTATTCGGCCTTGGTCCGGACTCGACCTGTAATGAAAATTCCAGGCTTCATTCAGTATTTTTCGGGCCAAATTTTAATCATGCTTGAAAACTAATCAGACGTTTTGATTTAGTCTAGGACTGAACTCAAACTTATTGAGAGACCGTTTTACCAAACACTTACCGAGTAAACGTTTACTGAGTGATTTACTCTATCAAGCGAACATAACAAAGACCGATAATTTAACCCCCAACAATCGGGAGTTTTATACCCGGTATATGAGGGAGAAGACTTTTGCTGAAAAACACTTAACCCGATAAACGTTCAGCAAACGACCCTTAAACGGGCCGTTTATCCAACGATTACACAGTAAGAATCAACAATTTCATTTAACTTACCAGGTAAGATTTTAATCCATCAAAATAACATCATATAAAAACTGATAACTGTTTATTGATATAAGAGTCGTTACCCTCATTTAACGGATACTTTTTTCAACCTCCCAACATTTTTACGTGCCGACTCTCGTTAAAAAAAACATGATGAATGCAAGTAAAAGCTGATGTCGGTTTTCACATGAAATACATTCTCAAATCATAACTTAAAACGACTTGAAACTTTTGATGTTATTACGTGGCAGATGGTGATTGGGTGTGTGTAGTCACGTGGTCCCCACGTTTCAGAAATATTTAGTGGGTGGTGGACCCACCACTATTACCACCTGTATCTCCTATTCCCATCATTAAATGCGTCCCAACCAAATATACGTGGAGTTCTATTTATAAAATAATTAATAAAACGTTAATTATTTCTTATATATTAAAAAATAATGTGGTTTTGTGAAAAATAAAATGTTTTTATTTCTTAATAAAATATAAATTTGAAGATATTATAAAATATTAAAAAAATTAAACGATATTAGTATCAAATTAACTATTTAAAAATTCTTGTTTTTTGTGTAATTTTCTTTAATTTAATTTTTTATTATAATTTAATTGAAGTTTAATAATGAACTAATTTATTCTTAGTTTAATAAAATAATTTTTTTATGATAATTAAGTATTCTTTTAGAATTCAATGGTTATATATTATATTTTTTATATTTAAAATTATGTTTATAATGTATTTGATTATGTTTATCTGCAGTTAGTTACACGAATATAAACATGAAGCTTTAATAAGATGTACTAATCCACATTCAACTTGTAATCTTGAATTTTAAGTAATATGCATCTATAAACAATATTTTATGCATAAAAATTTGTTTTCAAGAGTTTTTGTCAAATGTTTTATAATACAGTATAGATAGCTGGCCATTTTGAAAAGTACGTGAAAAGGTTGTCATCTTGTTAATTACTTATACGTATATCAGTTATTTTTGGTGAGTGTAATTTTATTTATACATCAATTAAAGCATCATAAAAACTAACCTGGTTGAAGCGATGTAAATATACCGAAAAGTTTAAATTAGATCATGTACCAAAAAGTAAAAAAGTATTACACTGAAATGGTAAAAAAACAAACGACATCTTAAAAGAAACCGTCGTTGTGTTTCCTTACTTTTGTTTAATACATCGATTTGCTTTTAAAAAAAGATCTTAAAACCCGCACATAGGGTTATACAGGCTTAGGAGCTGTGTTGGCAGCTACTAAATGGTTTAGTGTAGAATGATTAAGAGACTCTTATAATATAGTGCCAAATGAAATATAATTGTTTGTTAATTATTCAGAATGAGTAACAGCCCCATCCCGACCCCAACCCCGGTTTGAGTAACAGCCCCCGGATCCGGGACTCGTTTTAGCGAGAAATTCCCGTCCCCATTCGGATCGGGTGAGCCGGGTTCCCCACCAGATCGGGACAAATAACCATCCTTATAATGTATGTTTTATTTTTATCATAAACTTATTCTTATTTTACCGATTTATTAACAAGAAGAATTTACAACTGCTCTTCTTTCTACTTTCATTATTAAAAAAAATCAATTTTATGTGAAATAAATTAGAGAAATTGACAGAAATAACCAATCAGCAAATATGGTTTCAGTTTTTAATCAATCCTTATGCAGAAGGCTTGTATGTACTAGAAGCGTATTCGCGCAATACAGCGAGATACATCTTGATTTTAATGTTTCGTTTTATATTTTTGGTCTATTAATATTATGCTATGTGATTATGAGAAAAAGAAAATGTTTTTATTTTTGAATGAAATATAAATTTGAAGATATCATAAAATTTTGAAAAAAACAAACGATATTATACTAAATTAACTATCTAAAAGTTCTCGTTTTTGTGTAATTTTTTTGATTCAAAATTTTATTATAATTTAATTGAAATTAAAAAATGAATTAATTTATATTTGGTTTAATAATATATTTTTTATTAAGATAATAATTAATTTTGTTAGAATTCAATAATTTTCATAATTATATTTTAGATTTTTTATATATTTTAAAATGAGATGTTTATCCTCTATTTGATTATATTTATCCACATTTAGTTACACGAATTTAAACATGGACCTTTAATAAGTTGTACTTACACACAATTTACTTGTAATCTTGAATTTTAAGTAATATACATCAATAAATAGTACTTCATGCATAAAAACAGTTTTTAAAAACTTTTATCAAATACTTTATAATATAATATAAATAGGTAAAAATTTGTTTTCAGTCCGAAAAATAAATGAAAATTCTTATGCAAAAAGTGGATTATACGATGTGATTCCACTTTTTGCATAAAAATGATTACTTATTTTTTTTTCCATCGAAAACTAATCCTGTATAAAGCTTCTTACATAAAAATTATCTAAAAAATAAATTTAAAATCGCACTTGTTTTTTTTCCATTTTTTCAAATAAAGACAAATTACCTTCTGGTACCAAAATCCGAACCTGAGGTTCGGAGATAGGTTCGGGATACCTAGGGAAATAATACTCTGCAATACGGAACTAGTAAAAGAAGAGAGAGAAACTGCGTAGATAGAGAGAGAGAGAGAAGAAGAAGCTTTGGAGCTGAAAAAGATGGGTCAGATCGTGAGGAGGAAGAGGAGAGGAAGGCCATCCAAGATAGATCGAGCACGCCGTAACTCTTTCGTAGCGCCGCCGTCACCGGTGGACCGACGGAGGAGCCGTAGACGCCGGAACGTCAAGTACAGCTTTGATATCGATGATTACGTCGACGATGACGAGTTTTATGATGATGAAGATGAGGAAGTCGGGAGGAGAGAGAAGAAGCTCAGATTACTTCCATGTGAAGATGATTCCAGGTCGCAACGGCGCGTGGGACACGCGCCGTCGTATACGTCATCTGACGACTACGATGAAGATGACGATAGTAAGGCCTTGAAGAAACGGAAGATTGGTGGAGTTGATGAAGAGGATTACGAAGATAATGAAATTGAAGAGGTATTTGATTTATTGGATCTGCAATCATTCGAATTTGCATATTGATAATGAGGAACTCATTGCAAATCACTGTGAACTTTCTACAAACTTCAAACGCCATGTTTATATATTCGTATATGAATGGAGAGATTGGATTGATTGTAACGGTCGAGTCAACTGTCAAAAACTAATCCCCACATAGTCGCACAGAATCTAAGCACGCGGCCTACATTTCTCTCTCTCTAGTTTCTGTCACTCACTCTGTCTTCTACTTATGGGTGTTTGCACACTTTTTCGAAAATGTAAAAAGTAACCGCAGACCTATTCAAGGAGAAGACATAGTGAGTGACACTCAACTACATAGAGGATGCAGGTATTTTGCTTAGATTCTATGCGATTGTGCGTGGGGCAAGCGCTTACGGATATCATACTTGCTGATTGGGCATGACAAGGACTTGGAATATTAACCGATAAGAAGCATAGCAAGCACGAGAGTCAGTAAGCCATGAGAAACTCTTAGCTCTTACCCGGTGTAATACGCTTACTAACAATCCATTTTGATTGCCGGGAATGTTACACGATATGGTAAATAAGGGTGATGTCTCTTGCCTATTAATGCTTGCCTGATAAGAATTTGGTAAACGCCCCTTAGCTTTTGACAGTTGACTAGACCATTGCAATCAATCCACTCTCTCCGTTCATGTGTGCATATGAGCTCTCAGAAACATGGTGTTTGAAGTTTATAGAAAGTTCACAATTAATTGCATTGAGCTGTGGGACTATTAGTTTAGACTTTTGAGGTTTAATTTCTCACATTTTTGCAGATAAGAGGACGAAAATCGGAATCCGAAGATGAAGAAGAAGAAGCAGGAGGGACGAACTTTGTTTGTGGTTCGTGAACTTGGGTTCTGTTTCTTTCTGCTTCAAACATTATGAAACTTGATTACTAATTGGTGATTGGGGTATTGAGTAGGGACGGCGTTGGATCTTCGGAAGGAGGTAATGTTGCCTGATAAAAAGACTCTACAGTTTATCCTCGACAAACTTCAAAAGTAAGTATCAGTGGTTTAGGGGCCGTTTACCCAACTCTTACCCGACACTGGGTAAGTGTTTAGTGAACGACCCCTTACTATTTGGGTTTGTATTCTTTTGGGTAAGAGCTTCTTCAATATGTGATTTTTTGCTATGGCTTAATTGTGGCAGAAAAGATATTTATGGGGTTTACGCTGAACCAGTTGATCCTGAGGAGGTACTTTTGAGTTACTATCTACTCTTACTATTTTGTATTTCTGATAATTGGAGTTTGATACTGTGAGAAGATGTGGAATCGAGCCCTTGAGGACAGAACAGAGCTCTGACATACGTAGAGGAGAAATGGTCCAAGTCAAGCCAATGCAATACTCTAACATGCCCCCTCCAAGAGAGGCTAGAAAGGCATGGATTATCCAGATTGCCCCAGAGCGCCCGGACCATGCTCTGTTACCATGTGAGAATACACGGAGAGGAAATGGTCCAAGTCTAGTCTATGTGGACTCTAACACGCCCCCTCCAAGAGAGGCTAGACAGACATTGAGTATCCGGATTGCCCCATAGTGTTGTACACTGCATTGATACCATGTGAGAATATACGGAGAGGAAATGGTCCAAATCTAGTCTATGTAGGACTCTAACACGCACCCTCCAAGAGAGGCTAGACGGGCATGGGGCATCCGGATTGCCCCAGAGTATCGTGATCCTAGAGTGGTAATCCATCTCTGATACCATGTGAGCACATATAGAGGAGAAATGGTCTGACTGATGTGGGACTCTTAAACAAATGTAACAGACGTTGTTTGCTTGATTTCAGTTGCCTGATTATCATGACGTGATCAAGCATCCAATGGACTTCGCCACTATCAGGAAAAAACTTGCTAAAGGAGCCTATTTAACATTGAATGAATTTGAGGTTAGTCTATCGATAAAGCGTTGACTTTATAGTTGGTTTTGTTTTCTTCGGTCAATAAATATCTGAACAAGCATCGGTTTTCTTGAAGTGCAGCATGACGTGCTTCTGATTTGCAGAAATGCAATGCAATACAATGCACCCGATACAATTTACTATAAACAGGTATTCACTTTGGATGTTTACGGGTTCCCTTTTGTTTTAGCCGTTACGTTCAGTTTGTTGATCTCACCACGCTAATAATTTGGGAAGGCAAGCTCTATTCAAGAGCAGGCGAAACTGAGATTCGAGAGGCTAAGGGCTAATGGTGATCGATCTGAGTTAGAACTCAAGCCAGAGCAGAAAACGACACCAAGTTTCTCGTTACCTAAAAAACAATTAAAGAAGTCAGTGGCCCAGACTCTGCAGGACCCTGTTGGCTCGGAAACCTTCCCAAATGGTTCATCTGGCCAGACTCCTTCGTTCAGACAGAATAGTGGTGAAGTGCTGATTGCTGAAAATTCTTCGTTAGCGGAAAACAATCTAGATAAAGAGCAAGAACTACTACCAGGTATCTCATTGGTCATCACATTAATTAATAATTACTATCTTTCGGCATATCTTTTTAACTTAGATTCAAGTACAACACACGTCTTTAATGGAAACAGCCGCTAGATCACCCCCTGACCCCATCTCCAGGTGGGACATAATGGACTCGTTTGGTTTTACTATTTTATGCTCCTAGGGTTGCAACTCAAGCTTGATTAAGTGGATAAACTAAGTGGACGTTTGGTTTGCAGAATGGAATTTAAATTCATCAAAGGATTTTGACTTTAAAGGAATTAGAATAGAATTTAACTACGCGTTTGGTTGATAGGAACTGGAATAATCTTTCAAAAGAATTGAAATCTCCATATGTTGTTTGGCAGATTTGCTCCAATTGGAATGAAATAGCAAAAATACCAAAATACCCCCTTATTACTTTTTCATACTTTTTTGCTTAAATTATAAATAAAAAAAATGGTAATATTAATTGGAAGGGAGGGGGTGGATGTCACGTGGAGGAAGGTGTGATTTTCCTTGGTTATTCTATGTTTCAATTTGCCTATTTCTTTTTGTTGCTTATTATTTACTAGTCTTGGTTCTTTCCTTTTTACTCACACTTTTGCACAAGTCGGGATCTTCATAAAAACAATACTCTACCCTTTGAGGTAGATTACCGGTTTGTGTGCCCCTGACCTTACTTTCGAGTGAGATATACTGGGTTTATTTGGTTTGCTTTAGTTATTTCGCATCCCTACACATATTTATACTAAATTGCTTATTCAGGGAAGGGCTTCGTATCTAAACTTGGAAGGAAGCCATCCATACATGATGAAAATCGACGTGCAACATACAACATATCCGTTCAACCAGTAACCGAATCAAGCTCTATATTTTCTACCTTCGAGGATGAAAGCAAACACTTCATTCCTGTATGTCGTAATAATGCTAAATGTCCTCGTGTTTTAATAGTAATTATCTGCTCACGTCAAGTTCAGGTGGAAACTTCAAAAAAATGAAAAACTGAGGAACATCATAATAACCGTTCATCTGGATGGTATGCACATGTAAGCAATTTGTCGGGTATGCACATGTGCGTGAAAACCAAGAAACAACTTCAATTACCTGTATGCACGTATGCATACCATCCAGATGAATGGTTGTCATAGTGTTCCTCGGTGTTTCATTTTTTTGGGGTTTTCCCCTAAACCTCCCTCTATATTTAGGGGAAAACCATAAAAAAATGAAAAACTAAGGAACACCCTGGTAACCACCGTTCATATGGACGGTATGCACATGTGCATACAAGATGAAGATGTTTCTTGGTTTTTATGCACGTATGCATGGTAGGGTGTCCTCAGTTTTTCATTTTTTTTTTGGGGTTTTCCCCATACCTCCCTCTTATCAGCTCTTTCATATGGTTATTATCTTTGGGCATCAGGTTGGATTGCACTCAGATCATTCATACGCTAGGAGCTTGGCTCGTTTTGCTGCAACTCTTGGATCTGTTGCTTGGAAAGTTGCATCTCAGACGATTGAACAAGCTTTGCCCGAAGGTGTCAAATTTGGCCGTGGATGGGTAGGAGAATATGAGCCACTTCCGACCCCTGTACTAATGCCGGAAAACCGCTCCATGAAAGAACCGGATTTTCTTTCGAACTTCAAGATTGATGGAAAATCTTCTAAAAATGCAGCTTCGGGCAATGATAAAGCTCGTAAAAGCCCTCCGGTTGATAACGGGCTGAATGAAGGTGGTTGTGGTTCAAGGAAATTGCCAGTATTCGGGAACACCACCGTCAGTAATGGTGCCCGGATCCATTTAAATCAAGAATCTCCGAGGGCGGCCGGTAATGATCTAAGACCTCCTTTCTTTTCTTCGTTGCAAGTGAATCCCACGTTTTCCGGTACGAATCTTCCGCATCAGAACGACACACCATCTAGGAAGTTTGCCAGACCCTCACCTCAAGTTGAACCGAAACCGAATCACCCGCTCCCAACCCATGCAAGTTCCGCAGATTTCTTTGCAAAAAGACTGATCTCTAACGTTTCTGATATCCCGTCTCCTAGACCCGCAAAACCCATTTCACAAAACGGAAATCTTATGTCGTTGGCATCTTTTAAGCATCCGATTCCGAACGGTACAAATGACGGATTTTCCCCTAAAGGAAAACCCACACCAGTTTTTCAAGATTCTAATAGAATGGTTCCTATAGACAGCAATTTACCGTATCAACAGGAACGAAAACCCACATCAGTTAGTCGGGATTATAACCGAATGGTTCCTATGGACAACCATTTGCCGCATCAACAGGAACAAAAACCGACATCAGGTAGTCGGGATTATAACAGAATCGTTCCTATGGACAATACTCTTCCCCATCAACCGTGCCTTAATGATCCCGTTCAGATGATGAAAATGTTAGCCGAGAAGGCTCAACCTCAACAAAATAACTCGAACGGTTTTGGTTCGGGTTCGGGTTCCCCGGTTGGCCCAAAAAGAGAGGATTCAAACAAAGTGCAGCATCAACAAATCTATTCAAATGGTTCGCAAATCGGCTCAAAACGAGACGATTTAAGCAACGTTGCATTAACCGCTGCTCAGGCATGGATGTCATTAGGCGGGACCGCCGGAGGGTTCAGTAAACCACCATTAACCGAAAACCCGAACCCCCACAAGATACCTGCCGATTCTTTATACAACGATCGCCTGCAGCCTCAAGTTTCACGTTTTCGTGGCGAGTTTCCCGTTCCTGGGATTCAGAACTACCAACAACCGGTCCACGCTTTCGTCCCACAACCCGTTAGAACAACCAACGAGGCCCGTTTCCAAAACCGACATTCTGGCTTCCCTCAACTACTAACCACGGATCTATCGAGATTCCAGGGACAGTCTGGTTGGAGAGGGGTCGCACCTCAATTACCGAACCCGTCAAAACCGAAGCATCAAGAATCAGGCCCCCCGGATTTAAACGTAGGCTACCAGTCAATGGGGTCGCCCGTTCGACAGTCTACGGCTATGTTGGTTGATTCTCAGCAACCAGACTTGGCTTTACAACTCTAAGGTGATGTTTACTAAAAATACCTGGCAAGTGCTGAATGGGTAAGAGGCTCTGGCCGGGTCAGCATCTCGGTCAGCAATATTTGGTTGTTAGAAGACGTTGATAAACAACAGTATCTCTTATTCGGTAAGCACTACTTATCTGGTAAGAGGTTATAAGCACTTAGTAAACAACGTCTCAAAAACGAAAGAGTATAATAAGGGAGGGTTAGATGAGTTCATGTTATGGTTGGAAATTTGAAATAGAGATAAATCTGAGTTATATAGCAATTTATAGTTGTACGTTGAGTAATTTATCTGTCTTGTCTTGTCTAATCTGCTTTATTTTTATGCGGCAAAAAGACTGTATTTTTGTTGTCTTCGGTCATATCATGTCTCGCTGTAACTGGTGTGCCAAATTTAGGATAAATCATGTCGTCTCGTTCTAATTGTCGTGTTAAAATGTAGGACAAGTATTGCAGACATGATTGGATAACACCAGAAGGACGAGAAGTCGAGATGCGTTAAGCGGATTTATTTTAGGATTTTAGTTTGATGATAGCAGTTTACCAAATGCTTATCTGAGTAAATACTTACCAAATCACATTACATTATCGGATGAATATGGTAAGAAACAAGAATTTTACCCGGTAAGAGCAAGATAAAGACTAAGAGTCTTACCCGTTAAGTGAGGGCAATGACTCTTATTGGTAAGTAAATGATAGTATTATTTTTTGCTAATAAACACTTATCGGATAAGTGATTGGTAAACGATCCCTAACTATATTTATCAACAATGTCACCCAACCCAATCTTAACTAAAAGTGTACTTTCTGTCTCATCCATGTACACCGTTTTTAACTTTAACCCATTCAATTTAATCTAAAATATTATTTTATAAAAAATTATATATTTAATATTTTATGATGTATAATTTTTATTAATTTTATGTTTAAAAAATAAAATACACGAAATATTTTATA